CCTCTCCTACCTATATAAAGGAGGGTAGAGACCTCGGGCACGGGATCGAATCTTCCACATGTTCCATCTACCTCATAGCTAGGAGCAGAAACCCCTGTAATTGAGCATACGAACAACAAGTAGCCGCACGCTGCCAATCGAGTAGGGTTAGCAGCGCGCGCGTGCTCGAACCGATATAAATCTCTGTCTCGTGTGTTACCATCTGATTCCATCTACGCGATCATGTTGCTGAATATTACCTGAGCAAAATAATCCGACACTAATCTATCCCTAATCTCTATCTCTATCTAATATTAAAGAGCAAAACATTTTCTCGACATGCTTTTTTCCCATAATACCCTCACGGTCATGGGTCCACCACTTTCTTTGACCTCGTTACGACGTACGCGGCTGATACAATGCGTGCGCATTGATCAGAGGAGAGTTCAGGTGCTCGGGGGCGGGAAAGGATGCATGCTCTTGTTTTGTTGGAGTTAATTTAGTTTCAAGTTGATCAGGTGTTGGATTCCTGGTCGAGTTTTGTTGCATGTGTTTTTCCTTTTCCAAATCGTGGATGTATGAATTAGCCGGTTGTAGCAGTTGCTTCGTCCTACTCACTTGTAGTGAGCACAAGACCACGAAGCGATGACGAGACAGGGGTCTAAGCGAATGCGGCGTCCCTCCACATGGAAAGGCGTGACATGGAGGATGTCATATATCGTTGTGTGCTTGAACTCTGAAGCAGACACCATGGCGATGAAGTTCGTGTGGCCCACAGTGGTATCGCAAAGATATCGAGATGATCACGCAGGAATAGCAATGTGCCTATCCTTTCTCTTTCATTTCGCTAATATTAAAACATGAATTTATGGTGCTACGTCCGATCCTTTTTATTTTCTCATATGATTTAGAATAACTAGCACTCATTGATAGTGCGGAGTCTCATTCCAAGTCATACCAAGTTATGTACAACACAAGAACACATTTGCTAATAGGAGTTAAAGAAGCCCTCGACACACAAAAAAAAGGGTAACAGGACTGATTAAAAAGCTATGGACAGCAAAAGAGCCACGTAGAAGCTATTACAATCGACTGAAACCCTAACAAAATTGATGATAGTTATAGTATCGTAGTACAAGAGATTAATCTGTCTTTTTTCTCTTTCATGTTCATGTATAGCTAGTCTACGAGGACTGGAGGAGTTCTCCTTACAATAAGAACTCAAAGTAAGCTAGCTATGGCTTAGCATTGCCGCTTGAACACTCCGACATCTAATCAGCAGCGCCAACGACAGGTCGGCAGCCATTGCGATCAGACATTCAGACTACATGGAAATTGACACAAAACATCCAACAAACTGAAGAAAATAATCCGAAGTACTATACCTCTGCATCTAGAATGCTATCTCATAGAAATCTTAACCATGATCACCTGAATCTCCAGTCTCCAACGTTCAACCAGCAGCGCGCAGTGCATTACGATCAAACATTGAGACTCCATAGAAGTCGACAGAAAACAACATCGAACAAACTGACGAAAATAATCGAAGTATACCTCTAGAAGACCATCCCATCAAGAGAGAAAAAAACAATGAACACTGCTCCTATATCAATATCAATATCCAATCGTTTTCGTAAAAAGCAAAACCAAAGTATCAATATTCAATCACAGCGGTCAGCGAGTCAACGGCTATGCATGAGAGCCAGATTGTCTCACACTCCCGACGCCAGAACGCCATCTCGACCCTCCGATTCGAAACGAACGTTTCCGATGCGTGGGCCCCTCTCCAGCACGCACTGCCACCACCTCAAAGGCCGCGCACCAGTCAGTCCACACAGCCTGCCTATAGGGGCCAGAACTCTGAACAGTGCGCCGGCCAACCAGAGATGGCGCCGCAAACCACCGCAGCCGGCGGCGTCGAGGAGGAGGCCAGCACTCTCCGGCACCGCCACACCGCTGCCAAGAACGGCGGCGGCGGCGAGGAGGACGGGGTCGCCTCCCAGTCCCAGCCGCTGGCCGCCGAGGGGAGGGGAACGCGGCGCTGTCGGTGGAGCGCGTTCGCGTTCGCGGAGCGTCGTGGCGGGAGCAGCTGACGGTGCGCGCCTTTCGTGGTGAGCTTCTTCCTGGCCGTCATGTTCAGCATCATCGTGATGAAGCTGGGACTCACACGGGGATCATCCCCTCGCTCAACGTCTCCGCGGGGCTCCTCGGCTTCTTCTTCGTCCGCCTCTGGACCGCCGCCATCGAGAGGGTCGGCCTCCTCAAGCAGCCCTTCACGCGCCAGGAGAACACCGTCATCCAGACCTGCCTCGTCGCCGCCTACGACATCGCCTTCAGCGGTATGCATGCCACCTCTTGTTCTTCTTCTTCTTGCGATGCAGAGCAGCTCAAGTCAATAGTATGTGCAGTGGACTACTGTGCTCGAGATAATTAATATTTATTTTGAACTTTCGAGATAATTAATATGGGTATATCTCCTCAGCAGGTGACTGATGGAAACTTTATCCATCAGTCACCGCTCCTCCCCATCGGACGAGTGGACAGGACAAACAAGGCGAGCGGGTGAGCTGATGTAGATTTCGTGTGTGACGCCGGCGTGGTTGACCTTGACCCGGATGGTGGGCACCGGCTTCATGTTGGGCGATGGCTCGTCGTTGCCCGCCCCTCTTCTGCACGAGCATCTCGTCGGGCTGCACCGCCCATACCTCCTCCGCCGGCACCTTGCCGCCATTTCCTCCACCGCCGCCGGCTGCAGCCACAGTCGCCGGCGCCTCCTACGTCGACCCCAGATTCACCGGTGCGCCCTTCCTGCTCTTGGGATTCGCCCCCAGCTTGCTCACCGCCTCCTGCTCGCTCCCTCCCCCTTCGTTTCGTGTATCGCAACGAACTTGGTCGCCAGCTGGACCTCCTCGGCAATGGCGCGAACCAAAGCCCAGCTAGCTAGCTAGCCAGACGGCCGGCGAACACGATGGCAGGTGGGCTACGGGGATTGGAGGGAGAAGCCAAGGAAGAACACCGACGGACGGAATGGACGGATGGATGGACAGCGAATACCCAAGAGGAGGAAAAAATCGGACGGAGGAGGAAGGTGGATAGCAAGCAACTGCCGTCAAGTAAATCTGTTTATTTATTTTTAAATGGAGTCAGGAGCAGTGTCACTTTCTCCTATCCTCATCTTTATGTGAAAAGAAATGTGCTAAATTGTGTACTAATCCATTCTGACTGATAGGTGGATTTGGCACATACTTGTTTGGCATGAGCGAAACGATCGCCAAGCAAGCAACAGAGGCTGACAATCCTCAAAATGTCAGAAATCCTCACATCGGATGGATGATAGGGTTTCTCTTCCTTGCCAGTTTTATTGGCCTATTTGTTCTTGTGCCTCTAAGAAAGGTAAACATTTCAATCGTTTCTGTGCATAATATTCTTGTAGCATCATTATATAGCACATACCAACTAATCATCAACTGAAATCATCGGTACAGGTTATGATTGTTGACTACAAGCTTACATATCCTAGCGGCACATCAACTGCTTATCTCATCAATGGTTTCCACACGCCAGAGGTGCCAAGCTTGCAAAGTAAATTGTCTTGGTGTTGTTTTCCTTGCTGTTTTAGTTATTATTATCTGTGGCACTAGGCGTAAAGCAATGTTCCTGAATGCATAAATTGTATTTTTCAGGAAACAAAGTAAAAAAAAACAACAACAACAATATAGCCTTTCGGTCCCAAGAAAGTTGGGGTAGGCTAGACTTGAAACCCACCAAGAGTCTCAAATCACGGTTCGAGGCACTTCAATAGCTACTTTTCAAGCACTCCTATTCAAACATAAATATCTAGGTATATCCCAAGCTTTTAAATCTCTTTTATTATCCCCCCATGTCAATTTGGTCTTTCTCTACCTCTTATCATATTATTAGCTTGGCTTAGGACTCCACAATGCACTTTGGTACCTCTGAGGTCTCCTTTGGACGTGGCCAAACCACCTCAACCGATGTTGGACAAGTTTTTCTTCAATTGGTGCTACCTCTAGGCGATCACGTATATCATCGTTCGAACTCGGTCCATTCTTGTGTGACCACAAATCCATCGCATAACATACGCATTTCTTCAATACTCGGTTGTTGAACATGTCGAATCTTTGTAGGCCAACATTACGCTCCATACAACATAGCCGGTCTAATCGCCATTCTATAGAACTTGCCTTTTAGCTTTTGTGGTACCCTCTTGTCACGAAAATGCCGGAAGCTTGTCGCCACTTGATCCATCCTGCTTTGATTCTATGGCTAACGTTTCAGCATCAATATCTCCATCCCTCTCAGTAGCATCGATCCCGAGATACCGAAAGATATTCTTCTTAGACACTACTTGACCTTCCAAACTCACATCTCCTCCTCTGTACAACTCCGTCAAAGTCGCATCTCATGTATTCCTTTTAGTTACGCTCAATCTAAAACCTTTAGACTCAAGAGTGCGCCGCTATAACTCTAGTTTTCTATTTACTCCTATTGGCTTTCGTCCACTAACACTACATCATCATGAACAACATACACAACATACACCAATGGATATCCCCTTGTATGTTCCTGGTAATCTCATCCATTACCAAGGCAAAGAGATACGGGCTTAAGGCTGACCCTTAATGAAGTCCAATTTTAATCGGAAAGTAATCTGTGTTACCATCGTTTATTCGAACACTGGTCACAACATTGTTGTACATGTCCTTGACGAGGAAACAAGTAAAAACTCTTGGGAAATTCTTCTTGTATAGCTTCCTTTGGGGCTTTTTCCAGTGGTTCTACACTGGTGGAGATAATTGTGGATTTCAGAACTTCCCTACATTAGGCCTTCAAGCTTATAAGAACAGGTCAGAGCATTGAACTATCCTGGTTCAGAAAAATAGCATTCACTATTGCTTGGCGCAAATAATTATCTAACGGTAGCTTATAGCATTCTGAATGTACCAGTTTAGGACACTGATGAAATGGCTTCCATACTGAACTTCTAATTTCGTGTTCAGGTTTTACTTCGATTTCTCTCCTACCTATGTTGGAGTTGGGATGATATGCCCGCACATTGTGAACGTGTCTGTTCTACTGGGAGGCATACTTTCCTGGGGAATAATGTGGCCTCTCATTCGCAACAAGAAGGGGAGTTGGTACCCAGCCAGTCTCTCAGAAAGCAGTCTTCATGGACTGCAAGGTTACAGGGTAAAGATCCATACAATCATCCATCTTTAGTTTTAACACCTGTTATAATCATCCAAGCTGCTAATCTGGAAATTCCTGACTAGTGCAGGTTTTTATATCCATCGCTATAATTCTTGGAGACGGCCTGTACAACTTTGTGAAGGTGCTCATTCGCACTACCACTGCGTTTATATCAATGATGAAGAAAAACAGCACACTTCCGGTTTCAAACAATGGCAGCCCCATCACTGAAGCTGTTTCCTTTGATGACGAACGCCGCACGGAGCTGTTCCTGAAAGATCAGATCCCCAGATCAGTTGCCTATGGAGGGTACGTGGCTGTCGCTGCCATCTCAGTCGGCACTCTTCCTCAGGTCTTCCCGCAGCTCAAGTGGTACTACATCCTGGTCGCATACGTATTTGCACCTGTGTTGGCCTTCTGCAACGCCTACGGGATTGGCCTCACCGACTGGTCCCTCGCGTCCACCTACGGGAAGCTTGCCATCTTAATCTTCGGCGCTTGGGCTGGCGCGTCCAACGGCGGTGTCCTCGCGGGGGCTCGCCGCCTGCGGCGTGATGATGAGCATCGTGTCGACGGCCGCCGACCTGATGCAGGACTTCAAGACCGGGTACCTGACGCTGGCGTCGCCCAGGTCGATGTTCATCAGCCAGGTGATCGGCACGGCCATGGGCCGCGTCATCGCGCCCTGCGTCTTCTGGCTCTTCTACAAGGCCTTCACCGACATCGGCATCAGCGTCAGCGAGTACCCGGCGCCCTACGCCATCGTGTACCGGAACATGGCCATCCTCGCCGTGGACGGCTTCTCGTCGCTCCCCAAGAACTGTCTCACCCTCTGCTACATCTTCTTCGCGGCGGCCATCGTCGTGAACCTGATCAGGGACCTGGTGCCGAAGAAGGTCGCCAGGTTCATCCCATTCTACATCGGGTCCTACTTCGCCATCGACATGTTCGTCGGCACCGTGATCCTCTTCGCGTGGCAGATGATCAACAGGGCCAAAGCCGACGCGTTCGGGCCTGCGGTTGCGTCCGGGCTGATCTGCGGCGACGGCATCTGGACCCTGCCGCAGTCCATTCTTGCGCTCGCCAAGGTGAAGCCGCCGATCTGCATGAAGTTCCTGTCCAGGTCGGTGAACTCCCAAGTGGACGGCTTCCTCGGAAATTAAGCTGTGAAAATTACGATCTGTCAGCAGTCAGCATGAATCACAAGTGTATATTGTGTTGATGCACCATGCTGTAAAATGTACCGGGACGGGTAAATGTTGTTTCGTCACGATCTGCTTTTGCTGTACATGAGTAAGTACACTGGTCGTAGGATCGGAATTGCCAAACTAAGGTTTGCCGTATACGCGTCAGCAATATGGTACCAACACCCAACAGCTGTATGTTACCTGGGTTTCAAATTTCAATTTCACAACTGTATCTCGTCATATATCGTCGATATCTGCAAGGGTAAACCAAAACGTTTTGACTCGAATTTCCCTTCTCCAAGCGAAAGAACATCTGGGTCGTGCAATCCCGATCGGAGGGCTGCTACCAGCACCAGCCCGCTGCCCACCAGAATCCCGGAGCCCGATCGTGACGCAACTGGATTCCAACTAGCTTCCAATAAATACGCCGATTACCAAGCATCAACCGAGTCATCACGAACCATTAGACAACCACCATGGCGACTGGCATCGCCGCCGCCAGCGCGGGAGCCGACGCCTTGGAGTCAGGCGCCAGCCTGCTGCGGCGACGCCACGCCGGCGGCCTTGCGGTCGCGGACGACGACGACGACGGGGCCGGCAATGCCGAGGAGGTGGTGGTGGCCTCGGTGGAGCAGGCGTTCGCGGACAAGCCCGTGCCGTCGTGGCAGGAACAGCTGACGGTGCGCGCCTTCGTGGTGGGGTTCATCCTCTCCATCTTGTTCAGCGTCATCGTAATGAAGCTGAATCTCACCACCGGCGTCATCCCCTCGCTCAACGTCTCCGCCAGCCTTCTCGGCTTCTTCCTCGTCCACCTCTGGACGAAAGCAATCGAGAGCATGGGCTTGCTCAAGCAGCCCTTTACGCGACAGGAGAACACCGTCATCCAGACCTGCGTCGTCTCCGCCTATGGCCTCGCCTTTAGTGGTAAAACCCCCAAACCCCAGAGTGCTTTCGTCATTACTAATTAGGTTGTTTCTCTGCGTTCTCTTCCTCGTCAATTTTGTTAGATCAAAAATTTCGGTGCATCACCAGTGGAAAAGCGCGGCTCTTTTTTTTTTTTTCTGTTCTGAGATTGAATCTACAGATTAGATCTATGCACAATAGTATTCACAACTCCCTTTTATAGGGAGAAGAATACTGACTTTTCACGAAACAGATTTCAAATATCGATAAACATGGGGATCTGAAATATACATGGTGGATCTTTCATCAGAGATTAAAAATTCCGACTGTGGGCAAGACTGTGAATTCTTTTAGCTTTTCCATTGCATGATGATTGCTACAGATTTTCTTGTTACTTTTCGAATTGTGAAATCTCAAATAAAACAATATAAAATTTTAGCCTTAATTCATCACAAAATTCCAATTGAACAGGTGGGTTTGGCAGTTACCTATTTGGTATGAGTCGAAGCATTGCTGAGCAAGCAACAGAGGCCAATGATGCCCAGAATATCAAGGATCCTCACCTCGGATGGATGATAGGGTTTATGTTCCTCGTCAGTTTTGTTGGACTTTTCGTTCTGGTTCCTCTGAGAAAGGTAGATGCTTCTTTTCACACTAATTCTTGAGGGATAACAGTATGTTAAAACAACCTTTCTATGGTTATGTCAACTGAAGTAAATGCTTTCAGGTTATGATTGTCGATTACAAACTGACCTACCCTAGTGGAACTGCAACCGCTTACCTCATCAACGGATTCCACACACCCCAGGGTGCCGAACGTGCAAAGTAGGCAACATGAACTCTGCTAGCCTGTCATTATTAAAAATCAACATGTGTTTATATTGATAATAATGTAATCTATTTCAGGAAGCAAGTTCGAACCTTGGGCAAGTACTTCTCACTCAGTTTCCTTTGGGCCTTCTTCCAGTGGTTCTACACAGCTGGGGATGATTGTGGATTCGCTTCCTTCCCATCACTCGGCCTTGAAGCTTACAAAAACAAGTCAGTACCACTACATCCCGGTCTCAGATTCAAACAATGCTAAATTTTTGAGAGAGTAGCTCCACACTCTTTTATTATATTACCATGCAGTCATGGACTAATGCATGCAGTCTTTATTTAGTCTATCTAGCTTAGGAGTTGTCTTCTGGTTATTGTTATTTTTATGATATTATGATCTCATATATGATTTGTTATAATTCCATTGTCTTTAATTACTTATAAAAAAATATTTGCTGTTTTACAGGTTTTATTTTGATTTCTCAGCTACTTATGTTGGTGTTGGAATGATATGCCCATATATTGTAAATGTGTCTCTTCTTCTTGGAGGCATCATTTCGTGGGGAGTAATGTGGCCACTTATCAGCACAAAGAAAGGAAGTTGGTACCCCGAATCTCTTCCTGATAGCAGTCTACACGGACTTAATGGTTACAAGGTGAATTACAGTTGGTGATTTCATTCAAAAAATAAATAAATTACAATGGGTCATACTAGAATTCAGAATTTTGCGTTTTCACAGCTACTAAGAACTGACGACGTATAATTGCAGGTGTTTATAACCATAGCCGTAATTCTTGGGGATGGCCTGTACAACTTCTTGAAAGTATTCGGTCACACAATAGGAGCATTCATATCAATGTATTGGAAGAAACATGCAAACGCACTTCCTGTGTCCGACAATGGGGCCCCTCCCGCCACAACTGAAACTGAGTCATTTGACGACAAGCGTCGCATTGAGCTATTCGTTAAGGATCAGATTCCCAAGTCAGTTGCTTTGGGTGGTTATGTCTGTCTGGCAGCTATAACGATCGGCTGTCTCCCTCTCGTCATCCCCCAGATCAAGTGGTACCACATTTTGGTGGCATACATCTTTGCACCTATACTAGCCTTCTGCAATGCCTATGGATGCGGCCTAACAGATTGGTCCCTCGCCAGCACCTATGGCAAGCTTGCAATCTTTGTCATTGGTGCATGGGCCGGGGCTTCACATGGCGGAGTGCTTGTTGGATTAGCTGCATGCGGTGTCATGATGAGCATTGTGGGAACAGCTTCTGATCTGATGCAAGACTTCAAGACCGGGTACCTGACTCTAGCCTCGCCAAGGTCCATGTTCATCAGCCAGGTGATAGGCACTGCCATTGGATGTGTTACTGCACCATGTGTCTTCTGGTTGTTTTACAAGTCCTTTGATATTGGTGCTACTGGCGGCGCTTATCCAGCACCTTACGCCATCATGTACCGTAATATGTCAATCCTGGGCGTGGATGGACTGTCCTTGCTTCCAAAGAACTGCCTCACGCTATGCTACATTTTCTTTGCTATTTCCTTCGCCATCAATTTGATCAAGGATCTGGTGCCACAGAAGGTTGCGAAGTTCATCCCCATCCCCATGGCAGCAGCAATTCCTTTCTACCTTGGACCATACTTCGCTATTGATATGTTCTTGGGCAGTGTGATACTCTTCGTTTGGGAATGGAAGAACAAAGCTGAAGCAGACTCGTTCGCACCGGCCGTTGCATCAGGCTTGATGTGTGGTGATGGGCTCTGGGCACTGCCCCAGGCTGTTCTTTCTCTAGCCAATGTGAACCCTCCTATTTGCATCAAGTTTTTGTCGAGGTCTGTGAATGCTAAAGTGGACACCTTCCTTGGGAACTAGATGGGTGAGAGTTTGATCGGAGTAGAATTCTCTTTCTTTTGTAAGACAAGATGAAGTGGTTAAATAATTCTAGTCATGTAAATTTATATTGGTCTAGTTGGGCAGTGGTCATATTTTGTTTTAGTATTCAAGCACAATTGGATTTTTTTTCCTGATTTGCCTAGTACTGTAATTTTCTGCACTACCGGAAACTGTGGCTTTGCCGTGTGCCACAGGCACTCGGCAAAGCCCATAAAACACTCGGCAAAGGATTTGCCGTGTGTAACACTCGGCAAACAACACACGACATCTACAGTACCGGTAAACGTCTCTTTGCCGAGTGTTTTTTATCGGGCACTCGACAAACACTTTGCCGAGAGCTAAAACTGACGCTCGGCGAAAAAAAATAACTCGACGGCACGGAGACGGTCACGGCGCGTTTGCCGAGTGCCCAGGATTTGACACTCGGCAAACCTGCCTTATTTGCCGAGTGTCAAATCCCGGGCACTCAGTAAACCTGCCTTCTTTGTCGAGTGTCAAATACTGGACACTCGGCAAAGACTGGCCCAGATCGTACAAATGTTGGCTTCTTTGCCGAGTGTCACAGCGCAGACACTCGGCAAAGAAGCCATTTTATTCCCAGAATGCACAGAAATTTGCCACGTGTCCGCTTTGCCGAGTGTTTTTACCCTGGCACTCGGCAAAAGACCTCTTTGCCGAGTGTAACACTCGGCAAAACGACCATATATTCCCTATTTTTATTGTTCGGTCACGTATAACGTACCCTACTCAAATAAATATTACATGCATCACACATAGTTCATAATAAGCATCATATGCAGTTCATATAGATATATCGACAACACATAAATGCAAATAAACTTCAGAATTACTAGTAGGTTCATTCACAACCACAAATAGTCACAAGTAATCACAGATAATCCATAAATGCAAATGCAAATAAAATCACAAGTAGTCATTTAGGCCATGGGTTCCACTACGACCACGCTGGGTCATGAGGCTCATTCGATGCCGCCGATTGATTCTACACAAAGGAGAAGAGATTGCATGTGTGAGACAAGATTAAACAACATGTATGGTCTCTCTGTTGCCTGACTAGTATAACCCTTGCAACTCTCAGCAATATCTTCTCAGTTGCATTATGCTCTAGTATGATTGCTTAAGTACTAGTTGGTAACAAACATATAGCATTAGTCACTAAGTTTCTAGTGTCTGGGCATCTTTGTAAGATTGATTCTGCATAAATTAGAAACGGTGATTATAAGATTGTAAAGTGACTCACAGTGCCTGAAAAAGTATTTGGAGCAGGTTGAGGAGGAGGGATTGACATCGGTGGCGGAGATTGACCGATTGTAGCGTAAACACCCCTCATATATT